CTTAGGAGACTTGTTCCAAAACATCAGTGTAGCTGAGAATCTTCTTTGCCTTCCCTGTAAAAGGAAGTTCCCAAGTCCTGAGTCTCTCTCTCTCCCCTTCTGCTGCAATCCTGGCTCATTTGGTTATTGTTGTTGTAATTCCTGTACCTCAGGAGCCACGCTGGAGCTGTTAGTGTCGAGCTAATGGCTGACATGTTTTGATTTGGATTGACTCTTCTTTCTGTAGAACCAAAAAAATTGGCAAATTGCAGTGCAGTGGTGCTGGGCTACGGTCTCCAATCAAAATGCTCCATCCAAAGAGTATCTCTTAATCTTTACAGTATAATGGGGTAGTAATATGTGAACTAAGACATTAAAACTCTCCTGTGGTGTCAGGGTAGTTCTACAGAAGCCATGCGCATCCACAGAAATTAAAGCAATAGACTTAGTTCTGTTCCTCGTTGAGGAGAGCAAACAATACCACTTTTCAGCTTGTATTTGCCAAACTTAAAATGGGTGGGAGAGGACAAGAGAGTTTGGGGTACCAAATAATTCTGACTTTAATTTTCTTCTACCTAGAAGAAGCCAGAAGATCAGCACTGCAAAAGCATGCATGTTTCTGGCCTCTCATGGGTCAAGCCTGGCTCAGTTCAGCCTTTCAGCAAAGAAGAGAAGACACTGCCTACCTAGCTCTTTTGGACTGTGGTGCACGCAACACTTTCTGCGGGTGGAGGGAATGTAATGGAGGGAGAAACAGCAAAGCAGCAGTTTCCTTCTTGACTATGGATTAGCAAAAACTGAACGGTAGCAGTGACTCCAGTAAACCTGCTTGATGGATTGCTGACTCAACGTTTTACATATGCATTAGGTTTTAAAGGCTTGCCTGGAGTTTGGAAGCATCTCTGAACACTGCAGTACTTCTACCTGAAGACTGTCTAGGGTGGGTAATTCCTCAGGGCTCTGAAATGCCTGGAGGTTTTGGGTTGGTTTTTAAGCTTTTATTTTTTCCCTCCAGGAATAGCAATTTTTTTTCTAAATCTTAAATTGCTGGCAGAAATATTAGCAGGAAATATGATGCCAGAGGTAAGCTGTGTTCATGTAAACTAATATAGCAGAGTTAAACACTATATTTAATGGTTTTAAATACTTCGGTTTCTATTGTAAATATGTTAGGATTTGAAATTGTAAATAGGTGGTTCAATGACTCCATTTAGCACTTTCCAGAGGTAAAGCTGAGGATGACACTCAGTGTATGATGTATTATTGATTTGTAAATGAATGCTGTCACTAAAGCACACATTAGTCTGACGGGGTGAAAGCAGAATGTCAGGCTTAGTAGACTTTTATTCCATAAACACTAAAATCCAAGCTTTTAACGGTGGTCTCTTAAGCTAATAAAATCTTAGATGATTTTAGATTCCCTAGGTGGCCACACTGAAGGGATAACTAGGATAGCTCGACTAATGTGTGTTAATAGTGACACCTTAAGAAAATAAAAAGAAATGATGATCTTGCTTTTGTCCCTCTGTTCATCTGTACTCTAGACACTTAGCAAAGACTGGCACTGGAGTGGAAGCACCTGGCTGCACAAGTACTTGCAGGCACCCTGTTACGTTCTGCAGAGACTGGTTGAACAGTTTGGTTCCACGTCTAGGAAAACGTTTTAAAGCTGGTGTAAGCTTAGGACAGAGTCTTTTTGTTTCCACAAGTCTTCCTAGCGTCATAACCCAGCAAAATGTCTTATTCTTGTCTAACAGGATTTTCCTATAGCTTCAGTACTTGTGATGCCAGCCTCTTACAGCTGGCGTGCTTTTCCTTTAACTCCTCATACCTGTACTGATGGCAGTAGTGCAACAAACAAGTTACTGGTGACTTCATGTATAAATATGATGTGAGCTTTTGTTTTTCTTTGTTGTTTTGTCTGACAGAAGCTACATCCACTTGTCCTATAACAGGCTTTCTAATTTTTGAGAACAAATCCCTAGTTTTTAAGGAAAGGTACGATGAACTCACAAGTAATATGTTACAATATACCAAACGATTGACTTAATGTGCTGGTAAGGGTGACTTGCGTGGTTTCTATAGTGTTATATGAATTAAGTAATTATTCTCCTCCAGGTAATGCTGAAGCCTTAATGCATGACGGTGCTTTCTGCCTTTTCAAGTTTCTGCCTTTGGGATGCAGTGGTTTCCTGGGGCTGCCTGGAGTGATGCCAGGAGTGCTGGAATTCCTGTTCAGATGAAGAGTGCAGGGGGTATGTGGAGAACAGCAGGCCTCTTGAGGCAACAAAGCGTATCCAAAGGTGCATTCTGTGGGGCTGCTCTTCCTTCAATTTCCATAATTTTCAGTCATAAAGAGGGTCTGTTACAGGGCCTAGGTTCTTTCTGAAATTTAGTACTTCCATTGGTACTCGTAGTAAGAGAAATACAATTTAGAGTGGCTCTTTGCTAAACAAATTTGAGGTTAAAGTAAGAGGAACTCAAAGTCTCAGTTACCAGCCAGGTGCTTCTGAAAAAGGTACGTGCAGCTGAACTTGTATGCGGCTCTGAAAGCTGCTGGTGCCACTTTGCATGAGGTGCAGATCTGTGTAAATGGTCATGTAAATAAGGGCAGCCAACTGACACATAGTTATTGGCTTTAATGCACTGCGTTCTGCCTTTGGTTTTCTCTTGTTACAAACTATTGAAAGTGGTGTTCTAACCGTGCTGGAAACATGGGAGTGCTCCCCCTCAGGGGCACTGATGGCACCCCTGGCGTCTCCTGGGCCAGGCTGGCCCCTGGCAGCCCCAGGGGGGCTCCTGGCTTCCCCGCCAGGCACAGCCCTGCGCCTGTCTCCTGCTCCTGTCTCCCCGGGATCTTCGCTGGAGAGGCTGGAGGCAGCGTCCGTCCCTCACAGAAAAGGGTGAGTGAGCGCCGGGAGGCAGCAAGGGGCAGGCAGCCTCCTGCTTGGCCACCTGCCTTTCCTGCCAGGGAAGAGCTTGCAGGTGGCACGGGACCGGGCTGTAGCTGGGACTGTAGCGTGGGACTTCACTTGTTTGTTGCCATAAGTAGTTCCGAAATGTTGAGTGGAAAGGCTGCTGAGCTGCTGCGAGTGGTTGTACACGTGGACTGGGGTCAAAGAAGGCGACTGTCCAAAGTCCATGTTTTGCAAGAGACTGCTTTGGTGGTTGGGCACGTTTTGCTTTCTTTTTTTTTTTTTATTATTATTATTTTTCTTTATTTTTTTCATACTAGCAATTTTACAAACCTGAAGGCAGTGCACAGGGGGAAGGGCCTTTCTCTCTCTTTCCTGGTGTCTCTTATTTAACACTGTGTTTGGCAATGGATGTTGTTAGAAGTGGGGCTGCAGGAAGGAGCTCACGTGCAGCTTGCATCTTCCCCAGCACTTCTGTGCCCGGGGCATGGGCTGCGCCCAGCCCTACGCATGGCACAGTGCGCAGCAGCCTGCCAGCTGCCTGACAACTGTCTTAATACTCAGAAAATGTTTTTTCTTGTTGCTCTGGTACCTTTCTCTTGGTTCCTGTGAAGCTGATCTGCTGTGGGGGGAAAAAAAATCCTTCATAAGCTTTTCTGGCTATTTGCATTCTAGGGTAGCAATACCTGATAACACTAAACAGGCATTTGTTCCTTTTCACCCCATGCTCTGCTCATGGTGTGTGCTGTCAGTCGTTACCCTTTATAAAATGTGTTTATCCAGTGAAGCGTGGCTGCAGCTTTTCTGCTAGGGAGGCTCTAGAATGGGTACAGCATACTGAGAGGGGACTTGAAGGCAGTGTTGGACTTGCAGAAACTTGTGAGAGGAACTCTGGATGTCCTTGTAACTCAGTGCAAAGGAAAAATACGGCTCTGTCACCGACCCTGTCGCATCTGTGTGGCATCGGTGCCCCTACTAGCCTGTGTATCTCAGACTCTGATGGGCTGAGTGTGTTGGAATTGTCACAGCTCTGTTGGAACTTGATTAGGAGACAGAAATGGAGTAACTGATTGGAAAGCTGAGCTTCTATTGCACGGAAAGTGGTGGTGGGGTTTTGTTTCACGGAAAATGCGTGGGGAACGTGTTTTGAGAGCCCAGGCACAAGCCTGCAGTGAAGCTGCTAAAATACTGTGAGCATTAAGTGTCTTGCTGCTGTTTGTTTTACGCTTTTCTGGGGAATTGAGATTTAAATACTTCCAATTCAGTTTGTGAAAGGTTCAGTGAAACAGAGACATGGGCCTGGAATTTTGGCTGAGCACAATGTGCCAGCTAGGCAGGGAGACAGAACCAGGGCTAAACTGGCAGGTGATGGTTTTTATCTATTTGTATTATATTATTCAGAAGGCTCTGTAATAAATCACTGACTTGCAAATTTCCTAAGCCACTTAATTGAAGGACGTGCTTAGAAGGTTTAATCCCTTCTAATTTTGGGCTGCTCTTTTATTTCAGCTGCAGCAGGATAGACACAAAGCTTAATTCATAGTGCTGTGTAAAGCAGAAAAGTAATTTTTTCCCCTGAACTACTGGTGGACTGATGGTGTTGGGTGGAGGCAGAGGTAAAGCAATATGGAGCAAATCCATAGCCCACTGGCAACTGGAGATGTGGCTACGATTGTTTTGTGCAGTTGTTGCTGGGGTTTAGAAAACAAAGATTAGTAAAAGCAATGACAAGAAAGGATGATGAAAGGAATTAGTAAAAATGATGGTGATTTGAGCATGTTTTATCTTTGAGCTGTTATGGACAGCTGTAGGCTGTTACTGGGTTTCTCTCAGTAAAACTTACATTAACAGCAGTTTGCTGATGTGGAAACAATTACATTTATTTAAAGAATGCTTAACTTCTTTAGTTTAGAATAAATAATCTGAATAATCTCCTTTTTTTCAGGTTGAAAAAGGGGAGAGGATAACTGGGTCATCTAGCATGAGTTTGTGTATTAAAAGCAGCTGTTCCAGGAGCAAGGTAAGCAAGCAAGTACCAAAACTGTACTGCCGATACAAAAGCCTTTTCTCCTTGTTAGCTGTTATAGCTCCTAGTGCTGGTATGTCAACTAATGAGAAATTAACTAAAAAAAGTTGTCCTTGCAATGCTTTGCTGAAGTGGCATTTTGAAAAAACACTTCTAAGTATCGCCTTTACAATTCTGCGTTCTGTAAATAATGTTTCAGAAAGAGAAATGGAAATTTTAGCCTGCTGGTATAACAATGAAGTCTTGAAGCAAATTGTCTGTAATTGATTGAGATTTTTAAAAAAGACAACATTCACATGTGTGTTTTTCTTTAGAACACCTCTGAAGTAGTTTTTTTAGCTTTTCTTTCAAAGTGTACACTACAGATTGTGCATCTATTATTCTTTGCATCCTAAATTGCTGAGGGTTCCTTAACAATCCGGTTTCATAAAGGGATAAAACCAGCAGAAGCTCATGAAGCAGGGCCAGGGCAGCTAACTAAATGCAGAGAAAAACCAGTACATAGTTGTAAAAATAGCACCTGGCTGCTGCTGGTCCAAACAGCTCTTAACTTGATTACGAATCGCCCCCTAACTGAGCTCAGATATAAGTGCAGAGGCTAGTGTTTATGAAAAGATTCCTGCTTTCCTTGGGCTAAAATGTGTTCTGTTATGTTACAAGGAGGTAGCACCAGCTTGCTGTCGTTCTGGGGTCCTCTTCTCGCACGGAGCTCCTGTCCTGCCACCGCTGCCTCCACCAGGAAGAGGAATGCGGCCACCACCAGCCCATGACTGCTCGCAGTGACACCCAGGTAAGGCAGGGCTGGGCCCTCCCCTCCTGCAGGCACCAAGTTACAACAGACCAACGTGAGGAAACACAACAGACAGTGACTAAACTGGGGCAAGGGTAAAGCCTTTTCACTTTGTGTGACCAGTAAGTGCAATTTTTTAGTATTATTTGAAACCATTAATTACAGTGTTTGTCCAGAGTTCTTCTTGAAGCACATCACGTACCTTACAGCTCTCAGCTGTGTCACTGTTCTGGTATTTTCTTTATGTGCCAACTGGTCAAACCTAGCCTTTGGGAGACACGTGCTATTTTTGGCTTTGCACATAAGAAGCTTTTTTCACATGAGCATTATTGTGAGTTTATAAATTCTTTATTGAAAAATACACTTGCAATATTTTCATACAAAGTATTGTAAATGGTACGAAGTAACAAGAATTGTCTGACAACTTCATAAATATTTTTTACAGAAACATCTACACAGCTGCTTGACTTCAGCCTTTGTTACACAGGTAAGAATGAAAGATGCTTCTATTTTAGCTTAATTGAAATTACAGTGAAATTAAGTCCTAAACTTTCCCATTATTCAAAGGAGCAGGAATGCGTGAAAACATCAAGCTTTTAATTGTTTCATTATAAAAACTTACAGGATCAGTGTGTGCTAAATTTTACATTGAACAGCAACACTGTCCCCAGTTGTCAGTGAAAATGAGTACATGGCTATAGTATAGCGCACCAGGTATTAGGAAAGGACTTAATTCTAAAATACCAAGCTTGTTGGTATGCTTGTTTTAAATGAAAACAATTAGTCGGTCTAATTGATACATGCGGTGCTTGCTGATCCTATTAGTAGGGGAGGGATTTCTCTCCCAGGCAGTCTGATTTTTGTCCATAGAAAAATAAAAAATCACAACCACTCTGGCCTTTAAAATCAAACAACAACAAAAAGCTGAGTATACATTTTTAAGAGGTGGAAGCTACCTTCCTCCTGATTAAGTGAGATGGCCAGTTCCTGACTCTCAAAAAGAGCAATCTGCAGAAACATTGCTTTTTTCAAGGAATTTTATATGCTTGTAAACATCTCTAGCTTCCTGCATTCATTACTGCATGCACATTAAGTTAAAATTAGTTCTTAATGCCATTTGCTGAAGAGGGGAGCTATAGGATGTCAATTTGAAAATAAATACAAAAGTCAAATTGCTTCAATAAAGAAAAATATCTGAAGTCAGCCTTTTAAAAAAAATATTCACATTTAGAAAGTGCCATTGCAAATATACAGCAAAACTAATCTGCCTTAAAAATGATGCTTCACAGCCCTATCAAAAGTGCCACCTTTTGAACAAGAGTTCACTTTAAAACATTGCACAGCTAAAAACAATGCATAACAAAATCAGCTACTTTTATACAAGGTGCCCAGACATTAAAGCAAAATAATGTGATCGTTTTCAGGGGCACACAGAACATCCCGAATATAAAAGTATCCACTCACATAGGATTTTTTTTTTTTTTTTTGAGCCCTGAATTAAGCTATCTTCCTTTTCCAAGGGGAACAACTGGACTTTCCTAGAAAATCACGTCAGTCATTATTTCTGTGGAGGTCATTAATGTTATAAAGAAAAAAAGGCCCCCTTGAATATGAGCATCTTGGCACAGTGCTCCCATGTCTGATACATACATAACTTCCTTGTCCAAAGCTGAAAAGGTAAAGCACTGACAAAAACAGTGTAAGTAGACTGGTTAGAGCAAATGGATGTAAATACCTGTTGCAAGGTAAGAAAGCTGTATTAGGGATGCATCCTCCAAGCAATAAAAAGCTTTTTAACTGCTTTCTCAAGCCAGAGCCTGAAGACAGCTCCCTTGCCTTATAATTAGCTTAATGATGGGGCAAGTTTGAGTTGCAGTTTGAAATGCATCCTCAGTGTCCCAGGCATCATAGGAGACGCCTCCTGCCGCTTCCTGCCACGTCCCAAGGTTCAGCGCGGTCTGGCAGGAGGCAGGCATGAGGTGGAAAGACAACAAAAGATGACTGCCTGGTGTTTGCAAGGCTCGGTGAACCCGTGCGATGCGTGAAGCTACCTGGCTCCGTGCAGCAGGAGAGAGGGAATTCCTGTGCTGGACCACTGACCTCAGTGAGAGCCCCTGTCATTTGCCACATCCTGTAGTCGCCTTAGCAGAGCAGTGTGATTTTCCTGACAGATCCGCTTAGCTGGTGCTTCGGTACCATCTTCTAAGAGAATGCCTCTCTTCTTTGTTGGAGTTTCTCCTGTTTTAATCATGCTGTTAATTTCCTTTAGCCTCTGGGGAGAAGCAGGAAAAAAAAGGCAGAATTATCTCTCTGTATTGTGGCTACCAAAAAAGTGAAGTATTGTTAATTCCTTTACTGTGATCTTACGTGTGCTTTATTTCTAGCAATTATACAATGTACTTGCTGTAACAAACTAACCCTGTGGTTAGGACTTGTTATCTCACACCACAGATGCAGCAGTTCTGATCCTGAAAGAAGATGCTTCCCGAGGAAGGTTTCTACTCCATTCTTGGTGACCAGAGATCACAGGATTTATTCAGCCTGTTTCGAATTCACTTGGTAAGTCTGTCCGCATTGAGATGTTTCTCCTCTACTAAGCAGTTAAGAGGGTATGACCATACTTAGTGTTCTACTCCTCCAAGTGTCTTCATGCCAAATCACCCCTCCTGTTACCTGAAAGCAAATGGCACCATGGCCATGCCTCTTGAGTCTTCCATGTGTGCCATTGCAAAGGGTAAGTTTTCCAAGTACACAAGCAACTTGGACACCTAATTGCTTTATAGCTTCTGAGATATGTGAACTGTCAATTAGCTATGTGAATTGTCAATTTGGAGAGCATTAGGTGACAAAGTACACCTTGAACAATGCAAACAGAAAGATGCGTTGTACAACTTTCTCCAGTTGCACTACCAAAAAGAAAAGGTAGAATTAAAGCTTTGTAAAATCAAACTAAAACACTTTAGTCTTACCTTAGATGGGCTGCTGCTGAAATAATAGAATATTTTCTCTCGAGGGGAGAGAGTAGGCTCATTTTTGTGTGGTGAGATGTATACTGGGTGATTCTGGGACAGCTGTATTCTGCGAGGGGAGACGATTCTTACAAACGGGTAGGGCGAGAGTGGAGGAGAATCGGTCTGCTCAAGAGAAGAAGAAAAAGCATTCAGTATGAGCTGCCTACTCTCAGTAAGCTACCTACAGTAAGGCTTTTGTAAGTTGGTCACCTTAAGCATGGTTTAGATTTTTTTTCCAAACTTAAGTCATACCCTTGCCTATTTAGAATATGGGCAAGTTTGGTCATACTTCTAGGCCATACTAATAATTTACTTATTTTAACTGTATCCAAGGCTGGTAGATGACATGGCTTGGTGTTGTGTATTTCATACATGATTAATTAACAGAAGTGCTTAATATTTCAGCACCAGAGTATGTCCTTGAACTGAAATTACTGTCACTAAAGAAAAGCCCTTGAATTTCCTTCCCTTAAAATGAGGTTAGCTGAGTGTATTTTACTGCATGTACAACAAAACAAGATCTATTTACTAATGAAAAGCAGAGTTAACTTACCCCATTTGAAGTATACTTCAGGGCAAACTCTTTAATCTGCTCAATATAGATGTTGTTATAGAATTGTATAAGGTCCCCTCGCTCCTCCTCCTCAGTGTCGCTGTTGGCACCGGTCAGCCGGGTCGGCGTAGGGGGAGCGCTGTTGGGGTGAGGTACAGGCAGGGTGCTGCTGGATCGCATCACGGGGCTGGAGTCTCTGCTAGCTGAAGAGACAAGAGCAAGCTCTGCCTTATTCAGTCATAGCTGCCTTGGGCAATTCAATCATTCTGATCCCAGACAGTCAGCTTCACACAAGAGCTGTGCACCACATTGTGAAATTGCAGTATGGTGACCCTGAATTTTGTGTCGATAGCAGAGATGGTGATTTTGTTGCCTTAGCATCCTTGCTTACAAAAAAGCAGTATGTTGTTCAAGATATACCTGCTGAGTATATGTACAGACACACGCGTTAAGCTCAGCTAAAACTCCATTTCTCAGGAATTTTGCTATAATTTCAACAGTAGCTTGCTCTAGTTGCCAGCTGGCACAATTTCAAATAAGGAATGTCAGTCTTTTGTCAGCTACTGGTAGGAATAGGTGTCTTGGTAGTACTTCCTGCTGGTTTAATGTGGGAAGTTGCAAACAGTATGTACCTTTTTTTTTTTTCCCCTCCCTGCCACCTTTCTGTGACAGAAAACATTAAGATCTATTTTTATACTGTCATCTATTAAGTAGCAGGTGGTAAGAATATACAGCAGTAGTTACCTGCTTTCCTGTGCAGAAGGTCATTTGAGGAAAATGTGTTAGTTCAAATGTCAAGGAAAGACTCATCTACACTTCAGAGACAACAGATCTACTAAAATAGATGCTGTGGGTGGCTGCTTTGTTCTTAGCTATGAAGCCAGACAGCTGCTGCTTCTCAGCTAAAATATTAAAAGAAACTGCTGCAGCTCCATGATGGTTATAAGTAAATGAGGAGCTGAACAGGGGCCAGCACTGGTCTTCTCTGATTCACAAAGACGTGTTCCTTGGCGTACCAGCTCATTTCAGGAGTTCAAGCCGCCACTGTGGTAAACTGAAGCTAAGCTGTGCAGTGACTGATTCAAACAGGCCTGATTCAAATGTAGGATTGAGCTTGAGTTAGCAACTCATTAAAGGTGTGTTCTTAGGTGTATCCAAGTGTACCAAAGAAAGACCTGTTTGGTGTGGGGCGACACAAAATCCAACTTGTACTTCATGCATAATGTTTTGGAAGGGGGATTAAAAACACACAGGCAATTTGGAAACACTCACTTTTTTCTTTGTTTTTCTCTTTACTTCTGTCTGTAGGTGAGTTCTGCTGGCTGCTATCGCTGCTGCCAGACTGTCGTCGTCTTCTCCTGCCTTTTATCAGGACGCTCCGATACACCTGCAGGGAAAAAGAGGAGCATAACACGGGAAGTATGATTAAATGTGCAGTTACAGAGTCAGGAAACAATATGCACGATAGAGCTGCTTTTTAGAAGACTTCTCTGTGGTATCAGATTGTTTCCTACAGGGGAAAATACAGCCTCCTACGATGATTATCCACTAGGCACTGGTGCTGTAGCTTGTAAGTGAAAATATTTTCATCTATAGATATAATTCAGCATAAAAAGCTTTCGGTAGTGCAGGATTTTGACTCTGTCTTTAAGGAGAGTGCTCACAGACTGCGTATATTTAACATTAAATCTTATTTTACTTTGAAAATCTCTACATTCCTAAAGGCATTTAATTAACCAGAAGCCACATCATTTAACATTAACTGTACTTACATGACTCTTGGCTTGTGGTTGTGTCCGATAGCAGCGCATAATGTTCTGAAATGATCTGTCTTCCTTAGTAACCTAAGGATAGACAAACAGACAAGATTAAAATTGTTCCTGTGTTCCTTTTTTTTCCCCCATGATTTGTTTAGGGGTGGTTGTTTTTTGGGTAGGTTGTTTGAGGAATTTGTAGTCATAGTATATTAAGCCTTAAAAAAGCAGCAGGTGTTTTTATTCACCTTACCTTAGACATTACATAGATGGCACACATGAGCAGCTGATCCAAGTGTCTGTCCATCATGATTTCAGGGCAGTGCACCAAGGAATACTCAAAACAAGTCCAGATCTTTTTCCGCAGCTCATCAGATATATCGAGTTTGACACAGAGATCCCGTAGACGAACACTAGCTAAATGATACACCTGTTGACATTGAGACTGTGCTTAGGAGCACATCAATACTGCTTTTCTCATCCAAGCTAAAGCACAGTTCAGGCTTGTACAGCCTGTAGAACTTGTGCAAATGGTAAGTCAAAAGAAGAATAACTAAATTTAACTTTTGTGTTTACTGGTCTTGATGCTAAGAAAGCATTTGTTTGAAGCTTAAATTCTGGAATTATTTGGAGTGCAGGAACAGCACCACATAACCGCTGTATTGAATAAATAAGAACATCTCAAAGGTGAATCTCTTTCTTGTAAAGAGCCTTAAAAGAAAATGGATACTTTTAAGCGGATGCTGGCCACATCTGTAATCTACTCCAGAACTACAGCAGTGTTACTCTACTCCCCTGCCAGCGCGAAATGGTCTGCATGCTCTTAAGGTATGTATCCAAATAGACTTAAGGTATACATTAACTTTTAAACTGAACATTCTCTTACCATTATTAAAAATAAGTAAATATTTTTAAGCCCTAGAGGACCTACCGCAATACAAACTAAACAAAGAACAAATCTGACTGAAACGTACCTTTCTAAAGAAGAGTGAAAGCGAGCCCATCTTCCGGGGCCTGGCAGATGCGGCAGTGGCAAGTTGCTGGGTTTGTCTTTGCTCTCCAGGAGAGATCTGCTGCACAGTTACCTGGCCTGGTAGCTGTAACGTTGCCCCAGTCATCTGGGTGTTCAGGGTACCAGCAAGAGTCTGGGCGCTGAGGGGCTGAATGGAGCCAGATACAGCTTGAGGCTGGGTTCCTACATTTACCTGGACCGGGAAGAAAGTTATTCCCCCATTTTCGTTGGCAATACCTGTAATTTAAGAAAAAGAGTCTGAAATGAGAGCAGGTTTTGGTGGTATGAATGATATTTTGTTTGTTTTAATAATTAAGTAATTCTTTTATTTGTTGCTTATAATATATAGCGTATTATAGATAGGAAATCGTTTCATCAAAATGCTTTGGAATTCTTATCATAAAAAGACAGGAATATAATGGAATTGAACTAATTTTTAATAATAATGCTACTTTCTTGCCCTGCCAGTCAAGGAAGGAATGGTTATTGAAATATCTAAGTTCAATAAACAGCTGCTGGCAGTCAGAAGATCTTTGTGCTGTCAGTGTTCTGTCTCTAAATTCTGCTCCCCTATGCGTATGATTTTTCCCCAATTATTAATTCTTAAACCTACTCTTTCACCACTGGCATGCTGTTCTCCCTAATGTACTTGTCTGTATACAAATACTCTGATGAGAACCAGCCTAATCCTACTGTTGCTTTTCCCTTACCTTGGACAGGTATTGTAACGGTTTGCCCGTTATTGGCTGTTACGGTGGCAGTTGCCACTGTGACCAGCGTCTGGCCGGGCACAGGAGTTACGGACATGGCTTCAGGATTCATGTTCTGCACAGGCACCGTATTTACCACGGGCTGCTGGGGAACTCTTACTGGAGTTCCACTGTCAGAGGTATTATCATTATCAACAAACAGTCTTCTCCTGGTGGGATTGGCTGTAGGAGAACTGTATCTGTCATACAGGGTCGTGGGAGAAGATGAGAGGCCTGAAGATTTAAAAAAATATATATATATTTATATATATACACATTTAATTCTTGTATAATCTCTTATTATACAAATACACGAAAGAAATCTAATAAGAACCAAAACTTGTCAGCCAAATTCTTCTGGAAGCATTTTTAAAAAGTTGTCTACATTTATGGCTTACAAATCACTGTTACAGATGACTTGATCTCAAATAATGCAGTGTTCAATGTTTTTCTAAACTAACAGGCTTCACAGAAGTAAATATATAGCAGAGCTTCTATTCTGGTATAACAATAAAACAAACCGTTTAGGGGCTACTGATTAGAATATATGTATTTATATATTTGTCTATACACATACATATAGACTCTTCATACACATAAAACCTTGAAACCACCCTAACAAAACACTATTTTGATTTGAAATAATGAATGTATCTTAAATATCTGACTTATAGAAATATATATAGAAATACCATTTACAAGTTTTGCAACTAATTCTACATTGCCGGAGTAGCTTCCTTCTGTAACACCATTTAGGTTTGTAAGCTAAAGATGTGGTCTAAGAACAATAACTGTGTTATGCTTTAAAAATCTCACCTTTTCCAAGTCCTCCACTTTCAGCACGAACCTCGTTTATTCGTCTTGGCGTCAGTGGAGAACCTACAACACTGTTCCCAGCAGATCTCTCAAAATACTGAGGTGGCATTACCTAAAATAATTGTGCTTTTATTAAAATGTCTCTATCACAGATTCACTGCATAACAAGTTTTTAAAAGCTTCTAACCTAAGACAGTTGAATGGCAAAGTATATACAAGAAAATGAAACACTGAAGAGCACTGAAAAACTACTCCAAGTCTAACTTAAAACCAGTGTAACAATTGTACAGGATGTCGTGTCCACTCTATTATTCTGTCTGAGTAGGAAAACTATGTGAAGCTACATAATGTAAAGAAGTGCTTACCTCTTCACAACTAGGAACTTTGTTTTCATTATCTCTGATTCTGTCCCACAATATGGATTCCTGCTTCCATGCCATGCTTTCCAGGATCTGTTCTTCAATATGATTAAGGTGTTTTACTACTTCCCGGCAGAGTCCATCTTCTGCTCTAATAAAAACCTCAATTACCTGTAAAGCAAAGAATTATGAACTCCACATAATGCTAAATAAACAGTGAGCGATAAGTGTAATATACTTGTTTTCATGTGTTTCTTCTTACAGAAAGATCTAATTCCTAATTTTCAGGGAAGAGACTAGTAGAAGTATCAGGCTGCATCACTATGGTTCAATCAGCTGTTGTCCTGCTGGTTTATCAGAAGAGAGGTATTGGTATTTTTCTAAACAAATAATAAACGATGTCACACACTGGTTCAGAACAGCTCATTAGCTGGTTCAAGATGAAATGATAATCTGTTAGTTACTGTTTGGGTATGCTGCTCCTGGGTGATACTGAGAAACAGTACTTTGATTTTTAAATGCTCAAGCTACACCCCAGAATGACAGCCAGCTATTAAAAAAAAAAAAAGTCACCACAAAAAGGATAAAAATTGAGAATGAAGAGTTCAAGTACAAATTAACATCTAGGTGAGGAGATTACTTAATGCAAGGCAAGAGTATGCATGACTTGATCAGCATTTTTTAACTGTTAAATGCTTTACCTTATAAAAATGATAAACTGGAATGTCAAATATTTCAATGATGAAGGGGAAGTTTCCAGGTGGCTTATAGGTAAAGGTAATGATCTCAAGGCAACATGCCAGCAGAGACCGGTGAAACACATCTTGCTCCAGTATTGCCTGCAAGAGAATTGCAAGTTTTAGTGCTTAATTTACAGTGCAACAGAACAGTAAAATGCTTTCTATTCTGTCTCAGCAGCAAGAGTATCAGGCATTTAAAAAAAGATCTCCATTTGTACGTGGCAGAACATAATCCAAAATGAGACATCTTTTACTCTTTAAGAATGTTACATATCCTTTGTGTTTGCAAACACAACTGATTTCTTGTACAGTTTTTCTTTAATTCAGGTACACTTACAGGCTACTTTTCAGAAATTTACCCTCATTTAAAAAAGTAGTTTGTCATGTTCTACAACTGATTTCCTTATTGCATATCCAACTTTAAAAAGAGGCACAATATTATTAATTTTCCTTACAGATAAGTCAGTGTCTCCCAGTCTCCTCCTCTCTTGCTCAATAACTGACTCCAAAACCTTGTAGTACAGTACCTCAGCACGACGAAAATGCTTACTGGCCACATCTGCAGGAATTTTAAATAGAAATACCATGAAACACAATTCAAAAATCTGTATTTGTTTTATCTCTATAGCTTAAGACAATTTACTTGGATTTCTGTGTGGCAGGGGCTGCAATACTTGCAGAACTAAATCTAACTAATGTTAAAAACTTAACACTAACTGTGGTATCTCTCCCCTATCCTGCATAGATTTGTGGTTGCAGAACAAAACAACTTACGACTGAACCCACGATTTGGTAAAAACACCATGTACAAGAACCAAGTACGCCATGTACACGGTGTATAATACACCATGTATTCTAGCAGTTATATATTGCTATAATATAATGCACATATTTCAAATTCAGAAAATACGGTTTGGAAATGATCTATATGGATCCAACTTGCACTGTGCAACAGAAAACACTGAAGCAACTGTGGTGACAGGAACAGACACAAAGAGCATCTTCATAACTTCCAATCCGTCTTTGCTTACTTCACAAATCTTGACAGCTTTGCAAACAATACTTTGTGTTTATACTAGCAAGATTTTAATTAATATCTGTACTAACTAAACCTTGTATTTAAGCCAAATTTGCTGTAGCAATTTTGAAGAATATAATGAGTCAGGTTTTTCATTACTATTACAAAAACCCATGCTTGAGATGAAAAGTAATACCCTCTCACAATGGGGCTTGGAACTAGATGATATTTAAGGTCCCTTCCAACCCAAGCCATTCTACCCTTGAGAGTGCTTTTTCTTTCCCTTCTGTAGAACTTGTAAGTATCAAATTCCAATGATATAAGCCAAGTTTAATTATGAAAGTTTATACAGGGTTGAATGTTGCCATGTCGTAAGAATACCAGGAAAAGACAGAAGTAATAAAAAAATATTCTTGTGCTAAAGCAGAGCCTCTATAAAAACACAGTTTACTTAAAAGGGATAAGCATTTTGAAATACATGAATAGAGATTAAAGTGCAACTGCAATGTTTCCTACCTTTAGAAAAATTACTGAATTCTCCTTCAGACTGCATACTCTGGCAATAGAGTTCACACATTTCTTTTACTCTATTTGCAATAGATTGAGAAGGATCTCTGGAACATGCCCTGAAAATACAAATTAAATTTTCAAAGTCCAATTCCTACTAAGACCAAAAAAAACAAAACAAAACAAAACCAAAATCTACCATTTGGATAATATGATTAAAGCATAAAGCTGGAAATATCTCAGACAGCACTGCAAATACACGCATATGTGTGTAGCTGTAAAACACCCACAGCGTAGTAATATTATTGTGCATATTGCAGTAAATATGCACATCTTTTCATCATAAGGGTTTAATACTTAAACAGCATTTTCCGCATGATATAAAAAGTGGGTTAAAATACACAGTACCTAAGGTAAAAGTTTATCTGCATGGAGAAAAAAATATTTTTAATTCCTACAGTATGAAGTGACTTGCTAGGTAGTGAGGTCTGCTAAGTAAGAAGAAAAGTCTTGAAGAAAATCTATTAGCAGTTTGCTGTTCAAGAAGCTCAGAAAGTTGGGTTTAAAATACTGTGTTTTCTTACAGCTGTCAATCTCAAGGACAAAAGGCAGAGAAATAAAGAAAAGAGTGTTTTGAAAGCTTAGTGTCCCTCTGGCTGTTACATTACTACAGAACCTTTCATGATTTTGCATTTTTAAATTACACTATCTCACAATAACATTTGTTATTATAACCTTCCGTTTTAAACTTTTTTTTTTGGTTATCAAACATCATATAACATAAACATCAAACTTACCTGAATATTTGCTCCAGATTTTCGCTGGGGGCATTTTTCAGCCCGGCCAGCATGGTGTGAAGGCGGCTCAAGCTGTATGTTGCTATGGAAACAGGCGTCACATACGGGTTGCTCTCTTTAATGTACTTGCGGCCAGTAAGTGGGGTTGTAATCCTCAGGGATTTGGACTAAAAAGACAGAAAATAAGCACACAACTGTCCAGTGTTACAAAATTCTGAGCTTACAACCTAGAAGTGTCAGTCTCTAGAATTCTTTCTTAACTTGTTACAATACATGTCTGGGGAAAAAGACAAGGAATCAAACAGCCCCAACAAGTCATGTCTCGGATAGTCACCAGCAACGACTTCCCTCTGTCACCTGGATGTTGGTATCAAATGCTGGTGGGCGAATGCGCGAACAGAGAAGAAATGACCTCACACTGAAATGCAGATACTGGAGGGAAGCACAAAAGAGGCCTAAATAAAAAACATCAGCAGTCCCCTCCCATCCTCTGAGTACCAAAGGCAGCAGAAGCTTGTAGGGAAACTGTACTGAGCCAGGGTTTCCTGTCAGCAAGTGTGACTCTTAGATAAAAAAAGAAGTCCTCCTGAATGTAGCATAAACAATTAGCACTTCCATTCTGTTGCAGAAAGTATTTTTTTTATTATTATTTTTGTCCTCAAGAATGTTGAAAGCCATCAACCAACTGTCACACTGGAAAAAGATCACATTTCACTGCTCCAGCCTGCGTTACCCTTTTGTACTCTCTGATCTAACTGTACTGATGGAGCTCACATCCTTCAGTTGCCTGCCTCATATCCCTTCTCCTTTAAGATATTTTTCCATCTTCAAGAACATTTTGATGTTCTGTAATCCCAGGTAAATATGTCTGCTTTCTGCATGTAGAAATACTGCCCAAAAACCCTCACAAAATTACACAATACATCTAAGCAGTTGTAAAATGTAACTCAATTATGCTGTGTGCACTCCCAGAACAGCTTCTCCAATAAAGATGGTAATTTTTTTTAACATCTGCTACAACCAGATGCAGACTAACTCAATGTCTTCTCCATAAAAACAGCAAGAGACCATGTCAGACTCACCCTGTCAAAGTGTTGCTGCAGATTATGCTTCACTTGCACTCGTTCGGCTGTTTCCATTCCCGAAGTTGTATTTAAGCACCTTGTGAGAGTTCCTATTTCTTCATCTGCATCCTCCCCAAGAAAGATTCGCTCATCCAGATTTCCTACTGACAAGACGTACTCCTCGTAGGCCTTGTTGATGGCTTTGCTACAACAGAGAGGAAAAGACAGACACAAACCCCCTTTATTTAGTGCTTTGTTTACCTGTTTAGTGAATGAGCACACTTCTGGCCTGTCAGAAGTCTACCTCAGAACTTATTTTAACCATTTAAAACCAACAATATCTAATACATGACAGTGACGAGAACATTATTTTTCCGTTGTATCTGCTGGCTTGCCATTTGGTATGGCCACGGGAGGAACATAATACTGAGAACTGGTGTTTGGCTGGAAACTCCTCCAACCTTACTCATCACAGCACCCTAACCTGCAGCTGCCATTTTCATACCATTTAAAAGAAAAGAGTAAGTCCTGCTCATAGCATCTCTAGGTTTAAAAAGGAATAAACACCAAACCTGATTTTTCCCTCAGGCTTGAGCCCCACTCAGTGTGCCACCACAGCTTTTTCTTCCCAACATTTACAATTATGTACAAAAAAATCAAGGACACATAGAAACCAGAATAAAAGCAGACATTAAGTAACGCTATAGTAAGGAATCATTCCTCTTATGCCTCAGGCCATACCACCTCAAAGAAAAGGAACTGAAACACAATTCAATATAATACATAGACAGAAATACGCAAATCAACTAGCTAGCATTAATGCTAAGACACAAGAGTAAAGCAAGTGCGATTGTGTTACAATTCAAGGGGATACAAATACAATCCAAACCACAAATAAAGCTGACTCACAAGCTATCGCCAAAGTTTCCAGGATCTAGAAATCCAGTCAGATTTTCCTCTTTTCCTTTTAAAAGCTGTAAGAGAGTTAAGAGCAAAGGATGGACGTTTCAGTTCTTAAAAAAGTCCTGAAGATAATGACTAAGGAGAATTTTTTCTGCATCAGAAATGTATTGACCAACCTTTTTGTCAAAAAGTTTCCGAATGTATGGCTTCCAAAAATGTTCCTTTATGCCTTTTGCTTCTAAAACTAATCCATAATGTAATGAACACAGTTCTTCAATGATGCAGGGAGGATCAGATGACACTTTATAATCCTTACTGTGAAAGTCTTCAGGTAGACCTACAATTAAGAACAGTGTATTATTTGATCCTGCAAATTCATACCCTGTGTGCTTACTAAACTAAAATTATGTGCTGTGTGGTCCCAGGTAGTGTGAAATTAAAATGGTAAACTAATCAGTTCCCTTGAAAGAATAACTAATTGTACAGTGCCCACTCAATGTAAACAATCAAGGTGCCAGCCTTGTTTTTGGGCAGTGGAGCTTTCCAAACAGCTGCCTCCTGAAAGCCCTCTGGTCTGACTGCGTCCAACAACGACCTTGTCATTATGAACCCTTTCACAGATGTTAACATGTCATTAACAGAAGTGTTTAGATTGGAAACTCCTTCAGTGGTATTTCCATAGTATATTAAGTTCTTGACTTAATGTACTATTTACAGAATTCAGTAGTCTGTTATCACAAATGACATTAGTAGGAATACAACTGTGTGGCCAGACAGAGACAACAATAATTCCCCCATATTTCATATGAGTATTACTCAATTTATTCTGTACTATGTATGTTCATGCTCATTTCAGCAGCTTAAGAAATTCCTGCAGACTTTGGATAAAGACTTTTTTTTTTCAACATACCTTTAAAATTAGGATTCAGGAGTTCTTTACGATTAGGACACTGCAGAGCATTTCCGTATACTAGATCCAAAGCACATAACAAGAGATGGTAGGAATTGACCAAATCATCACTGATCATCGGAAAATTACCTTCAATTTCAGAAAGACACATGAAATTAGTTAAAATTAATTAGCAAAAATTTAAAATTATTTTACAAAAAACTACTGAGATTTGTATTGCAATCAATAATGGAATCTTTGAAGCACATATTCAGGTGACTAAGATTGGAAATATCTGGATAGAAACAGAGGGAGTAAAATGGACACACACTAGCATATAGCAAATATAATGATAAATACATTTTCAGGAACAGCAGCAATCATACAGGAACTCAAATACATTGTGCTGTTTTGAAAACAAACCTTACGGAGATACTGCTAAGCATACTGCAGGCTCCCTCTTTCAGCAGTAACCTGATCAATCAGTACCTAAGTAACCTGAAGCAGCATGAACTAATGTAAACTGCCCTAAGGACAAAACTTTGTTGCCCTAACTCTGGGAACACAAGCCTCTGTGCCTGGCAGTGTTACTCCTTCATCAGAGTCTTCCTCCACCTCTCTGAGGCAGAATGTTGTTCTGAAGTCGTGTAAGGGGAAGAATGGGTTTTGACTGAGACTATCCTTTTCCCCAATTTTGCATTGTTATGGAATGTTGCAAAAAACTTTATCTCCTGCTAGGATAGAGTCAAGTGTTCAGATGTCCTGGGAACTGCAGCCCCCCACCCGTCCAACAGCCCCCCGTTCTTCAAAACAAATCCAATTCTGTTGGGGGCATGCTCATTACAAACATACTTTGAACTTTATTTCTCTTATGCTTTACAAAAGTCTATCTTTACAAATGTGTATCTTTAATCTGGTTTACAATGTACTTTTCTTTTACATACCTCTAATATAATTTTTGTTCATCATCTTTCTTTAGAAAAGAATACTTGTATTCTTTTATCACCTTTCACAGAGGTTATATTCAGATTCCTCACTCTTTACTAAACTCATTTAGGTTTATGATATTCCTTGAAAGGAATCGTCAGAGCTAAAAACAGTTCTAAAATCAACTGTGCTGTTAATTCATATCATAAATCACAGTTCCATGAATTTATATGTACAGCATGATTTTCTATCATTTTTTCAATATTATTAAGTCTTTTACTCTTTTTTTTCAGGTAAGGTCCTAACCAGTTAGCTGAATTCACAATGAAAAACAGGAGCAGCTCCCAAAAGAGATCTACTATATAGTAATAAACTCATGTAGGACACATCAAAATATATATATGATTAAAGCATTTTCCTACACATTTTGTCACTCTTCTACCAGTAACATACCTGTTTGTTCAAACTTATATCCAGTTTTCTGATTCTATGTTTGATAAAAATATTTTGAATGTAGATAATTTGAACTATTTAAAATAATAAAGTCTACATGAAATCTGTGTTAACTGTACACTTTCATCAGTTATTTCCAAATCATGAACACGTTCACAAGAAAGAAATCAAACTCCTAAATATAAAAGCAAAATTTTAATCAATATCTTAAAGTAACTTTCATGACAGGATCAATTTCAGAAGCATAAAGTCTAGCACGGCAATAGCTACTGCCAGCAGTCAAAAATAAATCTAATTTTACGTTACCAGTATGTTCATACAAGTGATTTGTTAAATCAGTGACATTTCAGATAATAATTTACCACTCTCTTTCACAACTGTCCTGGTTTCAGCTAGGATAGATTCAATTTTCCTCCTAGTAGCTGGTAGGGTGCTATGTTTTGGATTAGGATGAGAAGAGTGCTGATAACATGCTGATGTTTTAATTGTTTAATTGTTGCAGAGCAGTGCTTACACTGCGGAAGACTTTCTAGCTCCTCTCGCTGTCCTGCCAGCAGGCAGGCTGGGGGTGCAGCAGGAGCTGGGAGGGGACAGACCCAGGACAGCTGCCCTAAACTGGCCAAAGGGGTATTCCATACCATACTGCATCCTGCTGAGCAATACATAGGGGTGGCTAGCTGGGGTGGGGAAGCCGGCTGCTCGGGGTTAGGCTGGGCATTGGTCAGTGGGTGGTGAGCAACTGCATTGTGCATCACTTGTTTCGTATACATTAGTATTAGTAGTACTATTATTATTATTTATTATTTTCCTGTCTTAATAAACTGTCTCTACCTCAACGCACCGGCTTCATTTTCCTGTTTCTCTCCCCCATCCCCGAGAGAGTGGGGAGGTGAGCGAAGGGCTGTGTGGTGCTTAGATGCTGGCCAGCTTAAACCACAACAACAACCAAGCATGAACTAATAAAATCTCAGTTATCTCAGTTATCTGAGATAAAATCTGTTATCTCGGTGCAGCAAAATTAGATCTTTTTTGAATTGACATTTTAAATACGTTATAGAGTTTAAAAATAAATTCTTAAAAATAGTAGGCGAGAACAGCACTATCACTGAACAGTCAGTATCTTATGTGCAGCGTGTACCAGAGGTGCAAGCAAGACCTGCACTTTGTGCACTGGTGGAACTGAACTGCACCGATCTTGAGGCATGCAGAAATATCACAGTGACAAGCCTCAACTTGCCGCTGATGTGTGGTTGCCATGATAAGGGTTACTGCCAACCCTCAAAACACAACGAACAAAACTTAACAGGAATTTTTAATTCCTCAAATGGTAAACATTCAGTTTACATCTTTGTACTGCCACACTTTAATAAAGTTACCACTAGTCACTTTGTAATTTCATAGTTCATCAATACTGTAACTTTATTTTTTTTTTCAGCTTAACTGGCAGTGTTATCAGCACAATATTCCAGTCTACAAAGTTACTTCACATGTCTGAAACTGCTCACCAGTGAGCATGTAGTTAACTGACGATGCAGCTACTCAAACATACCAACCAAGAATCCAGCAAGAACAAGACTCGTATTAGTCCCTTTGCGCTTTTGCCGCTCTACCCACAGAAGTGGGGTTTCCATAGCAAGGAAAAGAAAAACCGGAGATGTTTCAGACTGACCCACTTACTCTCTCAGCTGCCCAAGTGTGCTAACAAAGTGAAGTCCTGACTACTGGAAAGAGGTACGGTACTGACTGCTCTTGTTTCAGGGGAGTGCACAGAGACGTTTCATACTGCTTGAGAGCACTACTCTGGAGTGCAGGGAAATAAATAAATAAATAAACAAATAAAAGATGTAAAATAACACTGTGTTTCAAGGATGCAAGTAACATGCTTGTTTAGGAGAAGTCTCTCTTTCCCTGAAACACAGAATTTGCACCCTATTGGAAAAGGAAGCTTCTACATCAGACACAGGTGTTTGGTACAGCACCCATGCAACACCACAGCCTTCCTGATCTTTGCGCAAAGAGATGATGGTGATGGTCCAGTGATATTGCTGGTAACTCTTCCAAAAAGAGCTTGCTGACAACCCCCTGCTCTGTGGTACAGTGTAGCAGGAAAGGTTAATCTGTATTGGACAAAATGAGTACCAGATAATTCAATACTGAGACAACCTACTCTGTCCTATCCTCAAAAGCAACCAATTACGGAAATCACAGCACACTGCACAAACCTTAACACCGTTCTACTTTTAAATTCAAAGCAAACACCCCACAGTCTTTCTTTTCTCCCTTTCCTTGTAGAAATGAGACTACTAGCTTTTTTCAAGAAGTAGTCACGAAAAATATAAAAACTCTCTGGAAATTATTAATGGATAAGAATCTTTCAAAAGTTCCTTCAATTCGGAGCATAAAGTTTGTTTTTATTTGCCTAATACCAAGTGTCTAACTTATATGGAATTCCCAGAGAACTTTCACCCAAGCCATACCTGAAGTCCCAGGTAAGCAGAAACACTGTAACAACAACCAGATTTGATGAAAACAGACTATACACTATATGATAACTGAACAATTTAAGGCTAAAATTTTGGGGAGTTTCACTATCCTTTGTGCAAAAGGATTAACTCCTGTTCCCTTCTATGGTCCATCAGTCATTATCAAGAAAAAAATGCTGCAATTCTCTGCTATTCATACTGGATTTAAGGGTGCTTTTACAATAGCGAGTATACATATGTAGCAACAATTACACATACATTGCAACACACTGCCTCTTCACTGCTACATTTCCATAGAAGCCTATTAACAGAGGATTTCCCCTTGTGTCTTTCAAAGGAATCTGTCTTGAAGGCAACCAGACAGTTGCATATACACTGCTATGTCCAAAAAGCAAGGGACAAGTCATCCGTATGTGAAAAACATTTGCAGACCTACTTAGTAATGTACATTATTATTTGGTATAGTTACTGTGTGCACATTTTTTAAAAAGCGTGAGGGACAGGTTATCAGAAGAATTAGAACGCTATCTGTGATAACAGCATGGAAGTAATCACACCTAGAGTTTTATGATACATTCTTACCACTTTACAGAAAAAAAATCCATTAAATATTATCACCATTGTTGGAAATTTACGAGGAATTTAAATTATTCTTTGTTCCTAGCGAATATATATCTATATCTCATATTAATTATAACTGTCTCTAAATACAAATTCACTAAAACTCTCAGCTAATTTTACCTTGCAATTACAGCTTAAACTGCCAAAACGTTGGAAACATCACAGCGATATTACACATAAAAGCTACTGTTGACATACAGCTTACCTCAGAAGTGCAGTAAAACATACAGCTGGGGAAATTAAGACCAGATGAGCCCTTCTGCAAAAGGCCTGTAACTGCCCCATGTTTAGGGATTGATATGAAACAAAAACAACAAAACCAGGTCTGCAGTGTTTAATCCTGTTCAAATCTCTTACCTTTTGCATGAACAAAGAGCACCCAACAAAAGTGGAACACTTCGGTCACTGTGCACGGTTGTCGTCTTTTGGGGAAAAACAGAGCAAGACACAGAGTAAGCTCAATGAATTGAGGCTGACAGAACATCACACAACAGTCAATCATTCTGAAAGAAAATTAGGCTTTACCATGGAGTAGCCAAAGCTTTAACTATGCCCTCTCCCCCCAAACCAAACAAAACACACAAAAACCTGACAGAGGTAATAAAAAGGCTGCACGGTGCTTTACTGCAGACACAACAGGAACCCTGATCTCAGTCTGCACACAACGATTTGAATGTCACCATGGCAGTCCAACATGAATTGAGAGCTGGAGCTGAAATGCCTTCTTCAGGAGTATTCTAAGCGATATAACCACGTATATGTACGTGTTCTTGGAGGAATGCATTACGCAGCGTGTTGATGTTAACATACTGTTTGTTCACAGGTGTCACCTACGTACTTAGGTAAAGCATTTTTGTATGTAGCTTTACAGGGTATACAAAATACAGGGTAAATTCATTCAGGGTGAGGCCATGTTCTCCATTTTTCCAGTTGTCTGGTCAGCCTTAAATAATTTATTTGGTTACATCAGGTTACATAAGGAATATCAAAACTATGTATTTCACACAAAAATCAGAAGTATCATCTTCTGACTTGATTTTCAAAATTAGTTCACACCTCACCACCCAAGCTAGCCAACTAGCAGGGCTCCTCCTCTAACTGTAGTATTATACACACAGCATATTGTAGGTTCAACATTGTGTCATCTTAATACATCTCAATACATTTGTAACTCACTATTGGTTAGAAATAACACTAAGTTATGCTCACAAAAATTATAACGGAAAAAAAGAAGAAAGCAAAGAAATGGATTTTTTCCTAACATTTACAGTTTATTTAGCACAAGCTGTGCTTAAGTGCTAGCGTAAACCAATAAAATCTTGTTAAGATCAAAATAACCAGAGAAGAAGGCTAGTGCATAACTTTGCTGCTTTTATAATATCAACAGTGACAAAGAACCAAAGCTTCCACTGTAAATTAAAACATGCAGAAGATCTGCCTCTATGGAGAAAGCTATAGGAATTAATGTGAGGTGAAACAGACTGAGTCGTTCTGTGAGCTACTGAGGCTGTCGGACCATAAAACGATCAAATTCTTCCAGCCTTCCTCACCTTACAAATACCAGTACTTTCTTGCCTACAGGCTGGTTTTCATTTTTCATCTTTTTCCCTACCCCTACATCACAGAAACTTAACAGCTTTGGGACTTCACGCATCCTGTCAGATCTGACAAGCTGGAAAAAAAGATTTTAAAATTTCGGGAAGCGAGGACAAACAGACCAACTCTGATATCAGAAAGAACTACTACAAAAACACAGTTAAAGCACATTTACAACCACCAAGCAATTTCAGGATATTGTTGTGACAGTGATGCTCAAAAGTCAGTCTGGAAATTACAGAAAGGTACCTCTGTTTTCTTCCTCTCTGTTGACGAGGCTGATCTTCTTGAGGATATCTGAAGATGTCCTGAAAAATGGGCTCATACTTCTTAAAAATTACTGCAGAAACTGTGAAGTTTCTCTCCAGTCTCTCGGTTCGTTCTCTGAACTGAGGGGGGTAGATTTGCCATGTCTTCCCATTTTTTCATCTTGTTAAAAAACTCAATCAGGCTGAAAATATGGAACAGGTTAGATCTCTGAGGTTGTTGTGGTTTTGTTTTGTTTTCCCAGAAATATACCATACATTTTTATTTATTTACAACAAAAGAGCAATTGCTACTTTCCTAACTACTGATAAAATAGCAGTATTGCAAATATGACAGCTGTAGTGCAAAGTGTTCAGAGCCAGTCCTTCACCTACACACACAGACAAGGTTTTGGGTAGCTCGTGGTGCGTTGCGATACCCTCTGCTGATGACCCTGTTAATTACATGTTCAAGGTTCTTGGCTTTTCCTCGCAAAGATACCATCAGCTCCAGCAGACAGCTTACTATAAAAGCATATTGCTGTCATTTTTTCTGAATAATCTATCTACTGAAATAAAATAAAATCTGACCTCTACTGAACACTAAAAAGCTCTACAAAGTAGGAAAAAATACAGCGTACCACTTTTACATAGGTACATTTCAATTCATGAATTTGGCTTCCGTTCACTTTCACTCCTTTTTCTAAGCACGCTTTTTCAATGTTATTAGTCTTGCATAGTCCAAATCACAGGAACTTTTTGTCCGTATTCAATTCCTTGAATGGCTAATTTGGAAAAAACACTTTTGAAGGAACTCTTCTGTATTGTTTAGACAAATAATAGTGCTCCAACAGTAAAGGACTCAGGGGGAGAAAATGCATAATGAGCAGTCATATAAGCTTTCTTTTTTTGCTAATCTACTAAATTGCTACAAAACAACCCCATTGCTGATAAATAACATCATTTATTTCAGGAAGTTCTCCTTCATTACGCTATAGACAAAAACACTCGAGCAAAGTTTGTCAGAACCTGACACTGCTTTCGCATCGGAAAGCAAGAACAGATGAAAAGTGAAAGTCTTGACAAAAAGAAAAAAACGTGAAAAGGTATTGATGTTGTCACAAGCAATGAAAACGGTTACTCTTGTAGTAACAAGAAGCTCGCACTTCGTTCAGTGTTCAAAAAACTGTTCCTCACGGGTTGGTTTCTTCCCCTTTTGAGCACAGGAAGTTAATCGCTAATTTTAAAAAGCAGCGTTCTTGTGACAATGTTCTTATGACACACTGATGACCCAAATGGAACTGTCCTACTCGTGGGGCAGTGAGCTCCAGTGCACAGTTTCCTGCTGTATAAATTTGATCTGTGACAGCAGGAAGCAAGAATGACATCTATCATTTATCCACAGTTTGTAAGCTTTTCAAGCTGACAAGCGGCCCTTGAGGTTTCGTGTTTTGAACCTGGCCAGAAGCAGAGTTACCTTTGCTCCGAGCAGCGCAAAATCCTGGTTAAGGACACGAAGTTTCCCTCCACCGTCCCCCTGCTCATGGTCGGGATCGCCTTTCGGCAGGCCACGTACAGGGCGCAGGCCAGCCAGTGCAGCTCGTTCCCCTGCCAAGCAAAAGGCGGCGGTGTAGCGGCTGTCAGGGGAAGGGAACCTGCCGAGGGCCGCGGGCGAGCACGGCCCGGGCCCGGCCCCTCGGGCCCCTCACAGCCCTCAGCCCCCTCAGCCCCTGAGGCGCCTCGCGGCCGCGGCCCCACCTCCAGCGTGTAGTTGCGCCTCATGCTCTGGAAGCTGAGCCAGGCCTCGGAGCGGGCTCTCTCGTCCATGTTGAGGCTGCTGCACAGCTCCTCGTAGCGCTGCCGCGTCTCGCCCTCCTCGGCCGGCGGGGACGGCCCGCGGGGCCCGCCGGGGGGGCATGGGCAGGGCCCGGGGCCGCCGCCCCCCCCGGCCGCCGCCGCCCGTGCCTCGGGCTCCCCCCCGCCGCCCGCCATGCCGCGCCCCGGCGCTAGGGGGCAGCGCCGCCCCGCCCCGCGCACGCGCTGCCGCCCCTCAGCACCGCCCGCTCCCGACGGGCCGCCGCCGCCACCAGCCCCGCCGCTCATTGGCTGCCGGCAAGGAGGGGCCGTGCGCAGGCGCGGTGGGGGAGGAGGGAGGGGGGAGGGGGGGGAATGGCTCCCGGCGGGCAGCGCGGGCTCTGTGGCGTCATCAGGCGGCGGCGCTGCCAGGGCGCAGGGAGGGGCCCGGGGGGCACGGCCCTGACGGGGGCGGCTCCTCAGGGGGGAGCTGAGTGGCCCCGCAGCCGGCAGGGAGGGCAGGGGGGTGCTGCCTAGGGGCTCCCTGCCCCTCTTCCGACGCCTTGAGGGAGAAGGGACTCCTCCACGATAAACAAGGGGAGCCCGCTGCATGCTGCCCTAGTTTTTGATGCAGCTGGGCTCTAAAATACGTGACTGAACTCGACGCTTCTCCCTTCTCCTCTAGGAAGCTCAAATCTTGTGTTGTTTTTCCGTTAGTGGTCTAATGCCAGTTCACACAAGAACCCTTTAGACACTGAAACCACCGATACCTTTTTCAGCCCAGAGGATGTGGCTTTATTTACGTGTTCCTCCGTGCCCTCCCTCCCTCCTTATTCCCCCTCTCACAAAGCAGCAAGAAGGCTGAACAGCACTAATGGCTGCAGTACACGCTGTAAACGATTCAATAAAATATCACTAATCATGTCAATGGAGTAGTTCCCACTACGGGAATCAGTTCTTTATCTCCCTCTGTTGTAAGAATAAATTACAGAATTACAGCCCCCAGCATCAGCAATTTACGCAAATCTCTACTGGACCATCCCGCACACCCTCACTCTGGGTCCCTGAGAAGGGCTAGGCCTTCTGACAATAAACCACTGCTACCAGTTTTCAGAAACTTGGCTTATGAACCTGTGATGAGACAGACTTGAATTAATTTTAGATGATACTCCTAGACCATGAAAGGCCTCCACGTATAAGTATTTCCTTGTTTTGTTCCTCCTTCCGTCACAGCGGGGAGCTGCAGCTTCCAAGCTGAGCTCTTAGGGAGGTGGCACTGCTCTGGTACACAGCTGCACGTCACAGAGCACACAACTCGGACATCTGCAAAGTGGGGTTGGACAACGATGAGGGAAACAGCCTCATGTTTTTTCATCTCCTGGTGACTTGGATAAGAAACTATTTTTCCTGCAAAATGCAAGAAAGAGGTAGCAAATCTTGAGGCCAAACAACAATGGCAGTGATGCACAGGCTGTAGCTGTACTGACCCCACACAGTGACCCCACACTAACTCAAACTTCTGAAGAGTGGCTAACATTTACCTCCTGAGAAATTAGGGGGACCCCCAGACAAGGCAGGACAGATAACAAGCAAGGTCTGACGTCCCAACGCGGCAGGTCCAAGATGACAACCTAACTCAGAAGTATTACCGCAGGGAGAAACATCAACAGAAGGCTTCCTTCCAGTATTCCCCCTGGGACTGTCCCAGCACAGCCAGTTCTCCTGCTACTTCTGATGTCTTTTTGTCAGTGTGCAGAATGTTAGCAGGAATCTTCCAGCATTTGATGTTTTACTAAAGCAAGTCTCAGTGAACGAAGACCAATGAAAATTTTCAGCTTCCATTTGAAAAGGACAACATGTTCCCCTCACAACTCTCAAATGCTCATAACGAAAAAACAGAAATTACAACTTATTTAGGTTATAACTGCTGACGCATTGAAAAAACAAAGCAGTCTATGTACACTCTTTCTAGAACCAGGATTTAGAAGCCCTCCCTTAGGGGGGCAAAAAGCTGAATTGTAGATAAGCCACGTGATTTACTTGAGAGGTGTGTCAGATCAAACAACGTGAAGCAGAGTTGCTGACAACAGTTACCACATCAAAAACTGTTCTGAGAACTGAAACAAGCTTGACGACATGCTCTAAGTTTTGGTGAGCACTGGTGAAAGATTCTGACCCCAAATCTGACATCCAGTTCCCATGTATTTTCCAAACCAGCCTGCCCTTACACGCGGAAGTGGCAGAAGAAGGGGGTAGGCACAAGACACATTACCTGGAACAGTACTAGCTGCACCACTGCAATTATTCTCCTCTGCAAATACCAGCATGACCCCAACACCCTGCAAACATACAGATGTGAAATTTGAAGTGTTCATCAACTGCAGCAGTGCAAATCCCACATTACACTGACACAGTTTGCTTATATTAAGATACTCATGGGTATAGTAGAACTAGGTCAGAAACTGTTTACACAGATAAATGGGTATATAAAAATACATTACTAAACAACACTTCGAGAGCAATTTACTTGGACAAAATATAACAAAAAGGACAGGAATTTGTCTGGGACGGCCTGTTAACAGCCTTATAGCTCAAATCAATGTATCCAGATGGGTTTTCAAAAAAAACTTGAGAGGAGCACAAGAAATTAAACCATGCCTCCATCCTCTGTTCCTTGGAAATCTCATTGAAGATAGATCTGTTCATATTTTACTTTACAGAATAAGATGACTGAATTACAAATTTACAGGATTATGAATATACATTATTTTTTATTTACTCAAGTCTGTGACAGTTCTCTAATCGGCCTGTTAGAAATAAATGAAAAAATATTATTACAGGTTTCTGCAGAACTTTAAAGGAGAAAAGAAATGGATGAGAACATAAGAGCAAAGCACATACACATTTTTTTCACCTGTGTAGACAGTTGAAAAAGTAGAAGCTTAGATATTAGAGACAAAATTCAGAGTGGAATAAATAAGAAGGATACCACAATTCAAGTTCAGTGACACGTTAAAAACAAGAAGGCACTTGACAACCAGGAGACAATCTGCATTCCGAAGAAGTATCTGTAACCTGCAGAAAAAAATAATGAAAAATAGTTAAGTGCTGTGTACAAAATTGAAAGATTTGGTAAACACATAAAGGAGTAATACAGGGTTTTGAGAAGCAAGATTCAAAAAGGTAGTCCACTCCCAACATGCTGACCCAGGAACATTAGATGTGTTCTCATTTCTAACCAGAACCTAGACTATGTACTCCTTCCACAGCAACTCAAGGGCTGGAACAGCAGCCCATTTTGCTTGTAAGACAACAGAATATAGGAAATGGATTCAAACCAATCCCCAGATAAAATATACAAAAGTAAAATATTTCTGTCTTTTGAAAAAAAAAAAACACAACACACGTCCTAAGCTTGATTTTTTTTAAGGCCTTAAGAGTAATTTCAGTTTCATCTGTAATGCTGAGACTTACCTTTTGCTGCTCTGAGATGCACGTTTAATCATTACACAGCATTATTTTCATATATTGAGGCTGACATCATGGGTAGTCAAAGAATATGTTTAATAAAAAATAATTAAACTTCCATTTGCTCTATAGAACATCATAGAAAGTAATTCAATAAATTACAAATGACTTTTTAAGACGCTTGTTCAACTACAGAAAGCAAATTCAGACTACACAGAACACAACTGGCAAATATTGCAAATGTCCAAAAGAAAAACTGGACTAAGACTTGGATCATGAAGCCTGAAACAAGGGATAGAAATACAAGGCAATAACAGCTAAGGTTCTTTTAGTAACTACCAACACACACTTTATCATCACCTTGGATATCCTTTTAATTTTAACTTCAGTATTAGTGTAATTCTACTGAGGTTTCCTTATAACCCTTAACTTTATACAACCGTATTTGCATATAGTCTAGCTGATAGTGGGACATTTTTCCCCTTCTGGTTCAAACTGATTAAAAATAAACCCAATACATTATGTTCAAGTCTGTACCAGCCTTCATTACTTGAAACTGTAATTGCCTTATTACATAGAAAGAATCACTAGAATGGTAACCAAACTCACTTGAGCATAATTAGGAAAATACTTTATTTCATAAATCTGATATAAATTAGGTTTTAGCCACAAGATTTAGGATTTCTTTTGTGGGGTAAGGGTGGGAAGTGATGGTATTGTTGACGTAATCCATCAGCAAACTAAGTTAATAACTGTTTGTAGAACTTTGGCTATTTCATAGATGCATCCTAGTTAAATAAAAGTGCTATATTACAAAGGGCAAAATATTAAATATGCAATACTTTTTTCTTTCCTTTTTTTTTTTTTTTCCATGATGAAGAATTGCTACCCCCTTCTCTTGGCAGTTTTTAATTTTCACTATTGCTAAGACACTGCATGAAGGGCCAAAAATCAGAATACTATTTGGGAAAATATGTAACCAGCACAATCCAAATGGTACTTGTATAGCTGTGTAATTACATGTAATACTGCTTCTAATCATGGGGTTATTTTGCACATAGAAACTTATATTTCATTGGTAAAGTTCTCGGTAAAAAAAAAAACAACACAGTTGTTTTACTGTACAAGCAAGCAACAGAACTATATCAAAATATACAGTTTTTGTTTTTATTTTTAAATTTATCCCTTTGTAAAGCTTTTTCAATGACTTCTACTAGTACCTGTATCTATTTTCTCTTAACACTTGCCTTTTCTTGGACTGCAAATGATGGAACTAAGGTCAATTGAAATCTCAGTCAGTTCAGATCTTCTGTAAATGTGAATCTGGGCCTCTACTGTGTCAGAGTAATAGCAGCTTAAGAAGGAGGAGGGATCAGATCACACATCAAATATTTAGACAGATTTTATATAGTAAAGGGTTCTAAGGTTTTGGACTTCAACAGATGCTTTATGCCCTGTTAACTGTTGTTTCTAGGAATAATTTATCTTCCTTACTATTCAAAGTGCTTTTTCTTTAGTGGGTAACTCAGCATAACATATGAAGTGATATCCCAATAATGATTTGGGGTAATATTTAATATTTAGTCAGATTTAAATCTGCAGAGAAGTTTAAACTCAAAAGGAGTTCAAAACTATCTATACTTTATTTACCATTATTAACTGGTAACTCCAGGAGGTTTTATGACATAAAACACAAATAGAAATCTACACAAACAAAGCAAACAAACAATTTTTACATGAAG